AATTTTGCTTTCTTTACACTGGATATCCAAAAATAAAGATACCCCATTTTTTCATTTTTCTTTTTAGTATTTGATATTAGGTTTTTTACATCTGAAAGTTGCAGACATAATTTTTGCAAACTCAGCATGCTCGATATATAACTTGAAGTAACTTTAACAAGACAAGACTGATTTTCCTATTGGGAAGATTAATTTCTCATTGCTGTTGTTGTATAAGTACAGGCCTGTTTTCCTTTGTAATAAATAAAGCTGAAGTCAACACATGTAACCACCGGTATAATACGTGCATGTTGTGAAACTTGCCCTGACTCAAATCTGTTTAATGGTTTTCCACTGAAAATTCAACATCTGCCAACACCACACAAATCTTGATAACTGATGTCATCATGAACACATTAAGCCTCGGTTTTTAACATGTTAGGAAAACAAAGGGTTTATGGAAGACTGCTAACAGAGGGCTAAATCCTGGAGCCCTTGTTCAACAGTAGGAATTGTTCCTTAAATAAGGTGTGAGTAAGAACATCTTAAACCTGGCAGAATGTAAGCAAGCTCTTGTTCCACATTAAATTTAATTAGCCAAGTCATTCATGAAAATGACAACATAAGATATGAAACCTGTCACTGCAAATCACCTTTCGTCACTGAGCCTGATTTGGGAATGCATGTCCTGCTACACCAGCTACTGGCTTTGATGTTTCGCAGCTGTGATACTGCAGCAAGGAAAAGCCATTTAAATAGAGAGGGAGCTCTGGAGGAGTCAGGCATTTCCCCGACGGATCTGAAACTTCTCAGCAGAGGCCATCCAGAGATACATATTCAATAAAAAGGTCCTCATACTAAAATCTCATAACATGCCTGCAGAATGCCTGTAGCTGTAGCTAGGGGAAAAGCTGTGTAGTGTTGAAACAGCAAGGAGCATCCATCCAGATAAAGGAGGAATCCCATGTTATCGCTAACATCCATACACCTGCAAAACTGATAATGCCTATCCAGCAGTTTGTTTCCTGGGCACAGAGGTGGTTAATCAAAGTTACAGCATAAGACCTGTGGGGGAGGGAAAGTCATTTAATTAATGTGCCAGATATCCTTGCCAAAGCTTTTGCCAAGATTAGGTTCAGATTGTAAAGAAATCTCCAAGAGAAGGATAATTCTCAACACCTGCGGGCACTTTTATTAGCTGCTTGCACAGAATAGAAAACCTTATGTTAAAGTATTTGTCTCTGCTCTACCAAACTGACCTCACATGCTTTTATCTGGCCATAACCATAAGCAGATTTTAAAGCAGGCTGCAGAAGAGATTGCTAATAGGCAAGTGCTCTGTGGCACTTGAATAATCTGTGGATGGAAGCAATCACAGGAAGCTGTTCAAAAGGGACACAATCAAAATTCATTGTTGAGGGTAGACTCAAGTGCACAGAGGAAGAAGGAAGTGAGAGAGATCATGAGGATCTTTAACACATCCTGAAGAGGCATCCAACTAATGTAGCGTCCTGCTAGATCCTGGTCCATGCCACCAGTGCAGAACCTTGGCTTTGTTAAGGGGACTAGCAAAATTCCCTGTGAACCTCTAAATTTTTTCCCCTGAACATATTTCAGTGGTGTTTCTGGTTTGGTGGTTGTTGTTGGGTCTTTTTGTTCTTTTTGTGTTTTGGTTTGTTTTGTTTTTCCAGAGGCAGTTGATTCTACAGAGTCTTCAGAACAAGGTTCAAAAGTTGAATACGTAGCCACAGTGCTTTTAAGGAAACAAAAACCTCAGTAAACACCTGATGCATTTAGAAAATGATTACAGTAAATCTAGGAAATTATTATGTTCTGGTACTGCATAATGTAACTCCTCATTAAAAGAAATTAAAGTGAATTTAAGATTTATCTGTATTTTCTTATGAAATAATTTGGCTGCATCTGAAATGAACCATTACAACTGCCTATTGGAAGCTTGTGGAATTGTTACTCATCCTTGATCTAACAATATGCACTTTCAGCACATATAAACACTTAGACACATGGATAGACACGTACAACCCAATTTCTGCAACCATTTGTGGCAATGAAACATGACTTCGCAAATGTTCATCATTCCATGTGCTTTAAACATTTTCTCTTTAATCTCTTTTATCCATTTAAATCTTATTTTTCTGTGGGTTTTTTTCTAGCCAGAACAGCAAAAGGGCTCTGATTTCTACTCTTCTAGTGCTAATTAAATAAAAATACTAGTAATTATAAAAAATATCAACATCTGCAACTTTGGAAAATATAGTAAAAAACTTTAGATTTTTTCAAGAAATAGTCTTGAAATGTTGCTCTGTGTTTTGGTGGGATTGTTCTGGTTGCATTTTCTTGTTCCTGTCTCAGCTTCACCAGAGAATCCTTTTAAATAAAACATTAATGACAACTCACAGCTTGGCAAGTTCAGGTCAGATTCTTCCTTCTTCACTCATGCTAACTAGCACTTCATTCTGCAAGAGCCTAAGTCACCTAGATGAGTGATGATAATAATAAATAAATGACCAGGAACATCAAGAAAGCTGCAATGAATCTAAACCTTAACTCATCTGTCCTTCCATTCTTTCTCAGTAAACATCACAAAAACAGTGAATCACCCTAAATATTGATTACCCTTTACATCAGGTAGGGTAATTTATGGCACTTACTGTGCTGGCAATCTAGCATGCTATAAAGTACTGCATGAGGTAAGGAGAGCAGAGCTGTGACAGAGCCTTGCCACTTGCAGTCATTTGCAGAGGAATTGCAGAATCAGATCCTGCTGTCATGACCCTAAAATTCGGGATGTAAGGCCCTCCCACAGCCTCTGAGAATATTGCGACTGATCCAATAGCTCATACACCAAAACAACTCCTGAGCAAATACATCAGTTCAGAGCTGACGATGCTTAACTTTCAGAAAGCGGAATATAGTCTTAATTACAATGAACTTTGCACACTTTATAAATCTATAACTATGATTAGCTTTTACAAAGCAGATCATGAAAAAAACCCAGATGTATTAAGATATTCCTAAAGGTATTCACGCTTGTCCAGGAAAGTAGAATTGCTGTTACGGCTTTTACACTATACTTCATAATTTTCTGAGTCACTAGAAAAAAAGCAATCCAGCACTTTCTGTTTATTGGTTTTCTCCACGCTCCAAATTCAAGGTGATGGCCTTATCCTGTCATTATGTTACAATTTACAATCATTCTGAATGTATCCCTAGGAATTTACTTTGAAAACAATTCTGAGTATGTATATTCAAGAGCCATCTTTTAAAAGACGGAACCTAGTATTTAACACACCATTTTCGTTACTGTAAAGATCAAAGGCAGCGGTGCAAATATCCTCGTTAGCATTGCTGATACAGGCTTATCTGGATAAAACCTAGTTATTCAACTTGCTATGAACAATGGAATAAGAAATTATATAGACTTATGTAAAATGTAACACACTTTTGTGTTCTGTGGAATTTGCTTGGGCCCCAGCCCTACAGAGTACACACATCTGAGTTTTACACCTGACTAGTTCCACCAGTTGAGGGAGGGTTACTCATGCGTATCATGTTAAATGTGAAAATAAGTGCCTGCAGGATTGTAAGGAGCAACACAGGCACTGAAAAGACAGCATAATCTTGATGGGCAAATAACAAACATGTTCTGCCATGGAAAAAAATAAGTGAGCTTGCCATAATAGCTTCATCAATGCAAATCTGGCAGACACAGCACCATGGAGGCTGGCTGCAATTTTTCCACTATAAACCTGACCTGTAACTCATTAACCTAGCACTAAAACAGTATTCACTTCATGTTCAGTTCTTCGCAGCACTCAAAGGAAAAAGTAACTGGAATGAATTTCTATTCCCTTCTCCTGGAAAAAGGGCAAGGCATGCCATATTTGTAAATTTTCATGAATGCTAGAAAAAGACTATAAAAGAACAAATGACTGACTTATTGAATGTATTCATACAGCACTCACACTAGCTTTTGTGATTTTATTGTTCACATTAATGCCATTATACTGTAACTCTTCTTTGATACTGCATTGCTCTCACGTAAAAATAAACGAACCTTCCCATAAGACCAAAATTGCAAAGGTCCAAGACCAATGATAAAACTGCTCCTTCTTTATTTCCCTGGGTACTTGCCACCTGCCCCATGGCTAACACTGTACTCTGTAACACTTCTGGGTATATCTGCAAAGCCCACAATGCTAACAAAATGACTTCTAAATCTTTTCCTACAATCAGAGTTCATGAATGGCTGTTAGTTTAAAAAATATTAATGGGAAGCATTTCACCAAATACTAACATTGCTTTTACTTTCATGGGGTTGTGCCAACTTAAAACTGAGCCCAGGGTGGTTGTTTTTGCAAGGGTTTATCAGAGTCTCTCTAATTGAAGATAGGTCCATAAATAAAATATCAGGCTTTTTTTTTTTTTTTTTTTTTTTTTTTTTTTTTTCCCTGTTATTATTCTCATTAACATAAGATTAGATCACACAAAGGTCATAGCATGTGAAAAATTGTGAAGCATTAGATTAGATCCCTTTAATGGGAATAAAACCAGTACTTCCCAAATTCCTTCAGGAAGCTCAGATTTGTGGCTCACTTGGAAATTTCCAAGCAACTGGCTGAAGAATTTCATTCCGGCATCCCCATACAAGTATAAACTGGAGAAATTTAGAGTGATTTACTTTATTTAGTTTTTGTATAAACCTCCTAACTAAAGGACTGCAACTTCTAGATAAGGGAGCAGAGGTCCTTGCAACCTTGGAAACAAAAGATTATTTTTGCTGTGTTTGACAAAATGCAGTTTTTCCTATCTTGAATTTCCCCATCTCATTATTTTCTTTTATTTTGGGGTCACTGAACTTTTAGGTTGCCCCTTGACAGTAGCAAAAGTCACCCCAACCCATTACCTCTCCCCTGCTCTGAATATTGTCTAGTTAATACATCACCACTAAACTGAAAGATTCCTAGCCTCGACTTTATTGTTTTCTGTTTCTATTTCAGACCAGAGAAGACCCCATTTGCCTTAAAGCCGGCCTGATTTCTTCCAGCCTTGTTAGCTGATACAAAGAAAGAAGATACTACTTCCTACAGTCCTAGGCAGTACTCTGCAAGTCACCTTGGAGATCGGAAAGACTGTGGAGCTTTCTGGGAAGAAACTTTCTTTTGTTTTTATTTCTGCCCTCCAAGCCATGTAATTAATGCTGCACAAGCACAGATATACATAACTCTTACAAGTGACTTTTTCAGAATCAGTGCCAAAAATGCAACCTACCGTGATTTGTGTTTTTAAACTGCATAGCAGAGGCTGATCAGCACTGCATCTGTAGTCTAGAGGCAAACTCCTTTGCTCATACAGGCAAATTACAGGTCTGGTTGAACAGCAAGAACAAGCTCTTAACTCCTACAGGATTTTCTCTACTGCCAGGTCCAGTTCTATAAAATATGACCTTCAAATGGAGGGGGGGAGCCCTAATTCTTTTCTGAGTCACATATGCCAAATTTCAAAGCTTTATGCTTGGGCTCTACCCACATTGAGACAGATACTGCATGTTACTCTCTCTTCCTCATCTTCACACACTTTTATCACTGAGATGCAGTTCTACATTTAGAATGAGTTGCACTGAGATGCAGTCTCTTTAGAAAGAGGTAGTCTGAGAGACTGTATCTCCACTTTCTTCAGTAAAGTGTAGCCATACAGACATTACAAACAGTATAATTTCTTTTGGTCTTTCCTTTTCTTAGAAATATTGGTTTATAATGGGTTAAAAATCTGCTGCTAAGCAGTGACCATTTTAAGGTGTATTCTTCTCCCCTGCTGATTTGCCCTCTGACCTTCTGGGGGCCAGGGCAGCTGCAGACTTCATTTTTACTCTATTTCCTGGTCTCTCTCCTGGCTGTGCACTCAATGTTTCCACAGCAGATTAATGACAGCTAATAATATCTGATATATCTGGACATTGCCACATAATGAGTTGCAGTCCCACTGGGTGCCCAAAGTGTCACTACTAACAAATTCACCAGAGCTGCACATAATTAGCATGTAAAGGGAGTGATCATGCAGTAAATCTGGAGGGGAAGATGGATAGCCCATGAGGAAAAAATATAAGGAAAAAATACTGTTCTTAACACTCATTGGTAAATGAATGTTTCTTGCCATGAATATTTTCTTGATAACAAACTGTGGACAGGTTACCTTTACAGTAACATTATTCCTTCCACGGCTGATAGGCAGAATTTCATTATGCCACTGCTAATGTTACAATATTTCTGCAAAATGTCACCATATGTAAATTAGAAGAGGTTAGGGTTTTCGTCTTAGTTTTCTTTCAAGATGCACTGTCCCTTTCTGCTCTGGCCTAATTCCTTCCTCTATTAGTTTACAGACATGCTAACATTTCCTCAACCTTGCAAAATAAAAACCGTCATTAGAGGATCTTCCATCTCCAGGAGCTAAACAGAAATGAAGAAACTCAACACATGACAGAGGGAGCAAAGATACAAAGTAGAAATTAGTTTACTTGATGAGGTTTTTATCCAAGTATAATCTTTCCTGACATGTCAGAAAACGCCCAATAAAGAAAAACAGGATGCATGGACAGTGTGAGTTACCTGACCTGATCTGGACACAGGTGATCAGCTGCCTTCCCATCACATGCTAACTTGCTGCCTGCAGTCTGGATGTGTGCAGGCAAAGAGGCTTTCCCAGGAGAAGGAGGTTGACAAAGAGCAGATGAATTGTCCTGACGGGCTGTACTCAGCCTGAAGAGCCCTAAACTGGACAGCTCTGCTCTAGTTTAAGTCATTCATTTCTCCTCATTAGAAACCATTGCTCACCAATGCTAAAGACTTCATTTTGGTTTGAGGTTGTGTCATTTACAGGCCTTTTGCTTCTTTGACATCTGGGTGGGAACACTTGCATTTATGTGAATCCAGCTTTGAGGTTTATTTGGGCAATTGGCCAAAACGTGGTTAATTCAAAGTAGTAATAGTAGTAGTAGTAGTAGTAGTATTTTGCTGAACAGAGAGACCTTTGCCCTGAAGGCTTCAGCCTTTAAATTGTTCTTGCTCATAAGGCACTTCTGTCATTTGAGCAGGGAACGAAGTCAAAAAGGAAGCCTCACTTCAAAAAAATAAACCCAAATCCCAACAAACAAACAAACAAACAAGTCTATCACATGTATATTTTCCCATGATAAATAGTTATTTAGAGATGTGAAAAATTCTTAAAGTCTCACTCTATTCTCTGTAGCTGCCTTCTGCAGAGAGCGAGCTTGGCCAGGAGACCCTTGTGAACCTCAGACTGAGCAAGCATGAGGTGACTCGTAACCCATTTTAATATCAAAAGCAGAAATTGCACAGAGCTCAGGTACTAGACCCTGTTTGCAATGTCGATGAGCACTATCAATAAACCTCAGCACTTTTAAGAGTGTGAACTGCTACTCAGCAGTGCAGGGAAACACCCTGGAAATAACAGTAGCTGCTCCTGTCCACTACTGCATTCCTGCTTCTGCCATTAACTCATGGGCCCCTCAGATCAAAGCTCTGAAAGTTTCTGTATTTGCCACTCATACTGCATTTCATGCTGGCTTGTGTTCTGTTGGAGAACCAACTTTCGGAGTCACGCCACTATAGCTTTTATCCTTTTCTTAAAAAGAAAGTTTCCAAACTGGATGTTGCACAGAAAAGTATAAACTCTAGAGGCTCAAAAAAGCACACAGTTAATTAAGAAGTGAGAATTTATTTTAAAAATCCCACAAGTTTTGCACCTTAGAAAGGGCAATCCTACTGTTTTGGGGTTTTTTGAGGGGGAGTGGGGGGAATAAATTAAAACCCTTTAAACTCTTCCTAATAACAATTTTAATTTTGAATCCCTTGTTCTATTACCATCTCTTTGCAATCCATATGGTAACTCTCAGCACAGTTACTCATTTCAAAATTCACCTTCCCACATAATTTCCTTGTATACAAAAACCCCTAAATTAACAAAAAAAAACCCCAAAAAAACAAACAAAAAACCACCAGCCCAAACCCAAGAATGCTTATACTGTTCACCTTGTTTTTAATGAAAGAACGAAGCTCACAGACTATCCTGTTCCCACAGGGGCCTTTTTTTATGCAGTCTTAATGATAATTAACTGACAGTGATTGATGGCCAGTGCTGAGGTAATAGAAGATACAACTGTACCATTCTATCGAATTCACTTTTTCATTTTTTTATGAGTACTTGCTTATTTCTGAGTAACATCAAATTAATTATTTGTCCAATTTCAATTTTGCATTTAAAGTTCATCTGAAACATATTTGCCCAACTGATCTGTCACCTTGCTGACTGGGGTTTCATACTCTCCAATTTCATTCTGTGTCAAGCTCATGGAAGGCAAATACTTTTGCATTAGAAATACAGGAAAACACATATATTTCCACATTTTGTAGGTAAAAGTATTTCTACTGGAAAATGGGCCCCAGAGCACTGAGGCCATACAGAATTTTTGAATATGTCCACGTGGAATTTTATTGAAGGGAGTATGAGTCTTTTTTAGCTTAATTTCAAAATATTGTTGTTAGCATTGCAGACATCTCTAGGGGTATTTTTATATGCAGTGAACCGTTTTATTACAAAATCACCTTTGCTGAAAACCTCCCAGAGTCTCACATCCAACTTTGGTCTTGTTAAATCTCACAGCATCTCATACATTGTCTAGAATGACTACATGAAATGACTACATTTTATGCTTTATTCTTTAAATTCACTGTTTTAAATAATTGTTTCCATTACACTGGTTGTGTCAGCCTGACAATTTTGTATATATATCAACTGTTTTAAAAGCTTTTTGAAGAGGTCTATTGCTTTACCTGGAAAATGGTCCAATTTGAAATATCTGCTACACAGAAGACCTCATGTTTTAAATTTCTTTCATCTGACAGGTGAATTCTCTCTAGTATTTTATCACTTGTTACATTTAAATGATATTATTTTAACTGCTTTTCTGAAAGACTCTCTTTCTTTTATTGGTTGAAAGAAAAATAAGTTCTTTTTAGACATGCAGCGTTTCCTTTACAGCTTCATCGCCCTTTCAGTGTGTCATTACATATAACAAAATGTACACACAATGCATCCCTTGGGAGTTGAATCTTATCACAGTTCAGTACTTTCAAAATGAGCATTTTATACCACTTGGCACCCTGAGGACATGTGAGGTGACACCGCTGATCTCTCAGGAGAGACATCGTTCATTACTTACAGGTCTTGTTGATGGAGAAATTAGGCAATAATTATATTTTGTAAATTCTAGCAGCACACACACACACCCCACACACGGTCAAAAGACAGAGATTGTGGTCAAACTGCATCTGCCTGGGCTTCCATGGTTTTTGCCTACCTTTATGCCCTCCTTGATGAGAGTAGCAAATCAAATTCAAGTACCCTGTGCTGAAGGATCCTTCACCGAGTCAGATGCTGCTAAGACCTGACTACTAGGTAAGACTTCCATGGAGGTCTATCAACCAGTCTCAATTACCTATACAGGTTATTGCTCAGGGAAGTGGGACACCCCATCCAGGGGCTGCCTGCTGGGTGGGGTGTCCCACTGGAGCATCCTCTCCCAATAAGGTTAGTGATCATTTGACACACAGGGGACTTCCAGGATTATGGCCAATAAACCTTCCTCACTATGAGAGGAACTACTAGTGGCCATGAATGATGCATTTTCAAGCACTAGAGAAGATGGGCAATACATACATACCTCCTTACTTAAATGATTTTTGAGGAATGCTTTCCTTAAGAATAGTCTAGGAAATGTTGTTCTGTGCACAAGAGAACGTACTGCTGCCTCATGCAGAAGTTACACAGTGCCACTTCTTCACAGACAACTACAAATAGAAAAAACAATTGCAAGAAAACCAAAGGTGATTCTTTTTTTCTTCATCTGAAGGAAAAAAGCAGCAACAACAAATGACTTTGAGTCAAAAGAAGACTTCCAGGTGACTTGAAATTAAACACTTCCTTCTCACGTCCTGTGGGTAAAGCAAAGGACTGAAGTTGTGACACAGCAGCTGGGAGAGGCATTTTTATCCCTCATCCTACTGACTGGCACCTGCATGCAAACTTGTCTTCCTCCTGAATGAAGTTGAACCAAATTCAACCTGTCCCCCTCAGGAAAGGATCCTGGCCACTGGGCAGCTGTGTGTTTGCATCTCTGTGTATGAGGTCAGGAGAAGGGAGAGCATTCCTCTTAATTTCTCCTGTAGAAACACTGCCACGTATTGCCATGGAGAGCACGTTAGCCACCCAGCTGGAGTCCTGCCTTGCCACTGAGCCAAATTCAGCTCTTTTTATAAATGAGAAGCAGCACTAAGAGGCTAAGGGACTCCACACCACTTTCCCTGATTTAAAATATTATAGCAGTTCTGACATTCTCTGGGCAAATAGTTGACTTAAGTTCAAAAACCCATCAGCTAAAGGTAGGAAAGGAGCTCTTCCAAGTCCTAACCTCTGTGATGATGGAAAAGTTGAGAGGCCAGGGAAGCTTCATCCCTCATAACAAAAGTTTAGTCTCAATTTCTTTCATCAGAGAAAATTACTCATGAATGTAACACAAATTGGTGCTTTTCAGCAGACTTGCTTCTTATTTAACATACACCCATCTATCATATCTGTATAAGTAACATTAGGAACATATATTAATGAAAACAATCATCTGATTATAAATCATCTGGTATCTGAAACAACCTTAGGTGTCTTCACAAGAAGCAGGAATTATGCATTGCATGCAGGACTTACTGAGCTAATGATACTTTTACATTCTGTGGTGCTTACTATGCGCAAAATAATGTTTGAGATCATTTAAGACCTAATGCCACAGCATAAAAGACATCCTTAATTTTATGCTGGTGGCCTGTTATAAAACAAAATAACAGCTAGACCAGTCTTCAGGGTCCCCTGTGCTGAGCTATTGCTTGCTCTCAGCAAGGTGCATTTACAGATTTGCGAATTTCTCCTGCCGATTGAACCACCTTATTGTGTTTTGATACTTTCACTGCTTCTAGTGAAGTTGGCTGTCAAAGTGCTTCTTAGCTGGAGAATGGATTTACAAAAGACTTGTGTCAAAATGTCTTTGGTGGGTTTCAGGACAGAATCTCATTTACCTATACAAGTAGTCAGAGAGATCATCCTATACAGCAGAATCATGGCTGCTCTCTTTACTGTCTAAATCAAGCCTTCACTTTTCTATTCAACTCTTAGGTCCACAGAATGAGGAAAGATGAAGAAGAAGGGACTTAATCTCCTTGTGTCTTGTATGCTGTTAATTTAGAGGAATACATTTGAAAGTAGCAGCAGGCACCTAAATACTCTGGAAGCAATAGAATCCACATGCACTGAGGAACCCTGTGAAAGGAGAGCAGTAAATTATATATTCCAGTCCCTAGTTTTAGACTTGTACATCTGAAGATCTGGACCAGGCCTGGTCTCCTAGCTCCTATGGTATGTGCCTGCCATGCAGGCAATGGAAATCCAACCTGCCAGCTAGGAATAACCTGGAGGAGACCAAGAACTCTGCCTTTGTTGTGATCACAGTTTGATTTGAGTAGCTGAGACTTTACAGGTGAAAAATGGAGGAGACATTCCTTCAACTGCACATAATTAAGACAAACCAGAAATATGGACAACACACAAACCTTGTGGCACTTTCTCTGGAAAGTTTCTTTTCAAAACAGAAATATTTAGCTAAAAGCATTTCCTCCTCTTCAAATTTTAGATATGCCTGGAAGAGAGCTCTATTTGAAGCACGATACTTGCAGGATCATACAAATGTCTGATCCAATTAATGGCAACAGTTTATTTCTGGGGAAAGGTCTACCTCCCTTTGTCCCACAGTTTCAGGAGAGGTTTTCTAATGCAGTTTGATGGTTGTTATCAACCAACCAACCAGCCTCTTCCAAGAGTGGAAAAATTAACTGATTAAAAACTCTGCTAGTGCCACGCCTCTGTACACCCAATTCTATTCTTACTGGGCACGCTGCTTGCCAAAATAATATTTAGTTAGGTCCAGATGATCAGACTTCCCTGTTGTTACACCCATTTGTACAAGCACCCATTAATTTTGAGCCAGTGTTACTTTGCCAACACCTTATGAAGGGGAATTGGAAGAATGGAAAACAGCCCCTACTAAACTTCATCTAAACAGGTTTTGTTTCAGCAAAGCAAAATTTGTACCAGTCTGCATCCTAATTACCTCAGCCAAATCTGCTATGATTTGTAATTATATTATTATTTTAAATTAATCCATCCGTAAATTACAGTTGTCTTTTGTTTATTCACTTGTTTAGACTGGTCTAAAAAAATGAGCAAGGCTTTCAGACATGTATAATAAAAGCAAAATGACTAAAAAGACCTACTTTTTTTTAGTTTGCATTAATGAGTTCATCCCAAAATATATATGCAATAATATAGGAAATTAAGTTATAAATGTAGGGATGTGCTCCGAGTCACCATGAAAATCTGCATGCAAATGCATAATAATCACAAATCTACATTATTACAGTATTAAAAAATACCTACAATTAAATTATCATGTGGAAATAATCATAATGTTATTGGAAACTCAATTATTGTGGCAACCCTTGTCGGGGAATTAGCAGGCTATGGCAAAGGCAAGTCAGACCTGAATTCATCAAATATATATTATCACAATATTACATGTTCACTTCGATTCCATGCAAAGACAAACATCCTCACTCACTAGTGTCTGCTCAATGCATTTGTATTATTCATGAACAACTCTGTGATCTATTATACATACAAAACTGATTGTACGCTGCTTGCCGGAGGCTACAATGCAGAGACACAGAATTAATTTTATTATATACACATGCATGATAATTGTGTAGAATTCGGTCAAATATCAAACTCTGCTCCTGTGCTCCATTATTTTACTTTCCAAAAAGAGGTCTAAGGTCAGCAGCAATTTCTCTTTCGCGACAGTGAAACTCTTTGTCATTTAGAGTAGAAAGTTCCTGGGTACTAATGAGCCTGGAGCTGTGATGAATGGTCACACATTCCCTTTCCTTTCCAACCCCCACCCATCAAAGGGAAAATGTAACTTTTATTGAGATTCTCAAGAATTCCTTGCCTCTCATGCACACAGAAGTCACTTTGGGCTGTGGACTTAAGAGACTTGATTTGTCAGAGATGAAGGCAACTTTTTTGCTTGTTTTGGAGGCTTAGCTAAAATTGCATGAGAAGATGATCAACAGTTAAGGAAACCTATTTGCAGCTGTAGCTTTATTCCTGTAGGAACTGTTATTTTCAAGACATTTAAGTAAACCCTCCAGAAGACACCCACAGGGCCATCTTCCCTGTTACAAGTTTTCATTAAAAACAAACATCTCCCCCTTTCTTCAACAGCACAAGACTGATAGGAAGGCCTTTTTCCTCTTCTCCCAAAACTTCCAAACATTTTGCCAGAAAGACAAAGAGTAGTAGCATCCAAGACATTTGTAATTGTTTGAAGACCCAAGGAGATAGAAATAAATCAAACTTGAGAAGGAACTTGAACAAGGCTCACCACCTCAGAGTCCTGGTCTGATTTCAAATATAATTGAAAATGACCAGGACATTCAACTTCAACATTTCATTTTAGGTAAAAGCCAGGTCTAGGGGAATAAGTGGTATGCACAAATTTTGGCAACAATAACTACTGTCACTCAGTTTAAGTGATGTGTATCAGCTCCCATGAACCGCAGTTACATAAATCCCCCTGAGCACGCATCCAGATGAATGATCCAAAAACTTGTCTCGGGAATGAGAAGAAAAAAAAGGTAATCTTTAAATGAACAGAAAAACTATCCCATGCTGCATTAAAAAAATCAAACCCTGAAACATCTTTCCTTGCAGTTCCATTCACTCCCACTCTACATCCACTGTCCAGGCTTTTGGCTATCATCATGCTTATCTGAATCTCTGATCTTTAAGACTGAGAACATTTACTCCTTGCCCGGTTCATTCAGAGTAGGGTTTTATTCAAGCATATCCCAAACCTGCTCTTGCATTACTGTTGTGCTTTCAACAGTCATAAGCAAAAGGTGCACTCCAATGCATTTATATTCTAGATTCATAACATTTATAGAAGTAAACCGTAATAAAGACTCTAAATGGTTTTTCTAAGTCGACTCATGAGCCAGGGGAGATTTAAACAACTTCATCATTAAATCTACCTTTTGTATGCTTATGTCATTCCCAGAATCCATAATTTTCATAGCTCTGAGAACAATGCAGGATGATCTGCATTTAGTAGTGCATTCCTCACAAGTTTTCCACAATATCATAAATTTATTACATATTGGTAAAATAATCACTAAATAAATGAATGTGATAGACACACAAGAAGAACTCAGGGAGGAGGAAGTGAATGAATTCCCTCACATAACATGTGGCTCCATCACAAGCGATAACAAGCAAACATGTTAAACTGGGCTGTTTATTTTGGCTGACTCATAGCCACAAACGATAGAAACTTCAAAAACACAGCTCTGAACAGTCTTCAAGGCAGCAGTTTAGCTTACTAAAATGTTGGAGATGCAGAAGAAAAGCTCTTTCACTCAAAATAACATCTCGGTAATGCATTTTGTCACTTAATTGTTTATAACACCATTCTGTTCTTAAAAACTTCTGGGTTTGGTTAGGCACAAACATACACCCTTTTTAGTGATAGAAATTACTCCAAGAGAGCTGGCATCTTTTAGACATCCCACTCTTCCATAGCAAACCCAGGATTATTTTCTGCTATTTCAGTTTGGCTAGGCAATTAGGTGAGCAGCAGGACCTTAGGGCTCAGGCAGTATTGTTTAACTTCAATCTTCGTTGTAAAAGTAGGTAACAAACTGTTGGGTCACAGAGAAGATTTCTTCTGGAGATTGTTAGCTTGACAGGCTCCGGCAGGCAGAGTAGAATAATGGGGAGAAAGGCCCTACTGAAACCACTTATTTTGTCATCATTGTCCAAGACTTGTGACTTCTTACGCACATACATGAAATTTCAGTAGTTCAAGCTTGTACCTCTGGCTAGCACTAAGCCAGTGCACTTTGAGTTCAGATAAAAAAAAAAAAAAAAAAAAAAAAAAAAAAAAAAAAAAAAAAAAAAAAAAAAGATTTTAATAAAATCAGTTAAACATCAACCAAACTACCAAACCTCTTAATCACACTGGAAATCAAACAATTTGAGAGGACATACTTTTGTTAGACCTGAGATTGTTGCTCTGTCTGGTGTGCCTGAAAACACCTCCATGGTTTACCCATGGCATTCTGGCACTTTCCCACTGGCCTTCAACTGGTAAAACATACAAGGCAAAAACATTGCTGTTAAGCACATATTCCGAGCTTGTAAAATAAACTTATTTTTAAAATCACATAGCTTTTAATTGCTTTGCTCATCTCCAGTTATTAGTAGCCACACTAGAACCACCAGCTAAACAGCAAACTGTTGCAAAGACGGATGTTATTTCCTCAGTTAACATTTATTTTGCATGTATCCATAAAAGCGCTACATGGAAGAAGTGTGCACACATGGATCAAAGTCTTGGCTTCATTTTCTTGCCAGCTATCAGACAGCATTGCTCATGCACAAATCTTTTTGTATTTAATATTCATGGTGCAGAAGCATGTACTGCTCCCAATTAGGATTAAGAAATTTTATGAGAGGTGTTATACAAAACAAAGATTGTCACAGTTCTGCCACAAAGCACTTACAGTTGGACAGGTTGACAGCTCAACTATTGCTACATTGTGTATCATGTGAGAAGTAGTTTTAAATGTTATTCTAGTTACTCTTAAATGAAAATATTACACTATATGTAGATCTATGTAGTAATGGAGGATATTCCACTTCTTGCAACAAACGCAGGACAATACTTCAGCAGTTACCAAGGCAAAATAGCTACTTTGTCTTACCAGGGATTTTTTGTATTTTTGTGTATATATTTTATTTCAGTCAAAAATTCAATGACATAATAGTATTAGTCAAGCTGAATCTAATCTAGAAGATAATTAGTTTTCAAACAAAAAAGAAGTTGACCAAAATTAACAAAAGTATACATTTTGACTCTCATCCTAATGGGAACAATTCAGCACTTGATTTCAAAATTTAGTAATATTTCTAAGAGATGTGTCCCTTCTTCAACACTTGTTTCGCCAAGAGAGATGACACCATAACAATTTTCTTGTGTTTGGTTTAACAGAACACTTACTCTTAACCAGTGACAAAAAGGCTTTTCTGGTTTATGAAGTACAAAAAAATAAGAAATAAATAAAATCTTTGCATAGCCCTACTGGTCATGATCAACCTTCCTTCTTGGGAGGCATATTAAGACAGAACAGGTTACCTCTGAGATGAGTTTAGCAATTAAACATTTTTGGGAAACTTGCACTACTGACAGAGAACAGCTTTCCCATGGCTGAGCAGAGAGCTGGATGGGATCAGAGCTCAGGAGTAATGCCTCCCAGTCACATGCGATCCCCAGCTCTGTTCTGCAGCCCACTAAAGGCCCTCGGCAACATGAATCCCCCCCAAATGAGGTGGTAGAGGATGCTTCTTCAAATATCTCCTTGATGCCAAGGATGTTTCTATGGTAATTCTGCGTTCAAAGTTACAGGCTCGTGCTGCACGAGAGGCTACACCAGGGCCCAAGGAGATGAATGAACCTATCTAAGGTTGTGCATCCCCAGGGGGCTTCCATAATTTTGGGTGCACAGAAATGCAAAGACGGAATAATGACAATGTTGTGCTGCACTTCAATTGTTGAATTACTTCAATACCTTGCTCACAGATGTGTGCATGTGAATCTAATCAACCAAACTCCTCACAGACAGCAGAGATTATTCTGAGATATTATTCCCGCTTCTGCTACAGAAAAAGAAGCACCGGCCTTTCATAACCTCTTGTATACGGTGCTGTGTGTGTGAATGCATACACACACCCCCTCTCTCTATACACACACACACACTGAAAAGTTTCCTGTGTATAGCACATTATTATCAGAAAGAGATGACTTCTAACAACACTCACCTTTTCATGCAGAAAAAAACACACCAAAAACCTCTTTGATTGTTCATCTACCTAAACATTTACAACAACAAAACAACAGGGGAAAAGGAAAGGTGGCACTATCAGAAATAAGTATCTGAAGAAAATGAGTTTTTTTCTTATCACTTTAAATCCTAGAAAAGGAAGCTTTTCACTACCTTTTCTTCTTGAATCATTCTGTGCTTCAGTTCCTAAGTCAGCACATTTAACTGTTCAATTTGCAGTTCAATAATAGGGACTAACATTGTCTTTTAAATGCATACAGAAAAGTTGCATCTTTTTGCTCTCATTTTCCCTGTGTGTTTGTTGCATACTGACATCAAATTCCCTGCAGGCATCCTAACCTTTCAATTGGAGAAACAGTGCTCCAGGGTTTTCCACGTGTCTAATATACCTGGATAAAAACTGCTAATTGTCACTAACTTCCATTAAATGACAGCAGTAAGGCACGAAATATGCTCGATTTGCAGACGCTAGTGCCACTGGGAGTTAGCAGCAGATTAATAATTGTGCAGACCTCAAACATTCCCCTGGCACTGCCAGTCTGGGTTTCCAGTGTAATGCTAGATTACAAGGCCTTTCTTTTTAGCTTGCTTTCCTAAAGAAATAAGGCTTAGGCAGTTGCACTGTCTTCCTGTGCATGCGTTTGACTGTCCTACCTTCCCACAATAATTTCTGGTCAATCTGAATACATTTTATAGGAGGGTAGAGGTCACAAACATAAAATGGCCTTAGCAGTTTTGTGAAAAATGGGCAGCTAGGTAGATATAATCAAGCCTGAGCTTAAGTGTTTCAGACATCCTGGCTTTCTAGATTCAGATGTTCTTGCAGAGAGATGAACCCTAATTCTACTCAAATTTTGTTAGCACTGAAAGTAGAAGGGAGATGTGCCATATCACATATTCAGAAGGCAGCAACTCTTACATGACCACTTTTACAATCAGGTGTCACACTAGGTTCCCAGTTGTGTTTGGTTGTTTGGTTTTTTTTTTTTATTTTTACAAACCTATAAGCCAAAAATCCTATTTCAGCTTGAGGCTTTGAGTGTACATCAGGAGTCAGCTTCTTGCACAGGTACAATCTTGCTCTGGTTTCCTCCAGATAAGTTCAGGAGCCAACACTTTACCTTCCCCTTTGCTCTGCTGTTGCTGCTGTTTCCTCTGCTCTTGGAATACATGGGCATGTACTCTTGGGTATGAGGACACCACCCCTATGGCATGCAAGCTTACTGACGGCTCCGGTGGCATGACGAAGCTCATATCTGCATGCAGCAACACGATTACAGCGAAGGTGAGGGCGAGGTTGAGCCGATGTGTTTCAACACTTCTTTCTTGGTATTTATGACTGTGCCGTAGCATTCTTGCAATCTGGCCTGCTGCTGTTCCAGCTGCTTATGCAAGCTCCTGATTGAGCGCAACAGCAGAAGCCGTCGGTACATAGCTAGCTGGAGCCGGTACTTCTCCTTTTCCTCCTTTTTCTTATTTTCTAAAGTTTCCATTACTTTCGCAGTCTTCATCCAAATCACCCGACCCAGACTACAAGGGGCCATATTGCCCTTGGCACTTCTCCCTGCCTGCTGCAGATGGTAGACTCCAGGGTCAGTTCCAGGCAGGCCAGTGACAGCCTGTGGGGGCTCGCTGGCCCTGCCAGGCACCCTTGGGACCTGCAGCACCTCCGAACTCAGGTCTTCATCACAACAGGGGCTTTTGCAGCACAGGGAGGCAATGTCCACAGGTTGCAGGTTACCAACTGCCACAGGGTATGACGAGCCACCTAACGATGCATTTACAACTGTTGAATGATGCTCATCCAACCCAGAGGCTGTCCTCTGTGCCTGGCCACCACTAAGCATCTCTGAGCCAGTCAGGGCTTTTGCCTGGGCCACGGCCTTGCTGGAGAGGACAGACAGTCTTTCTGGCACTGCTGAGCTTCCCTTGTCTTCATTAAGGCCGGCTAACAAAGGGCTGGCAGAGCAACTGGGGGATGCTCTTACAGCATCAGGATTCAGAAATTGGTCTTCATCATCACTGTTATTTTGAATCCCCTCTTCATCTCTTGGTATTACAGTTCCTGTCTCAGCCATTTATTGCATGAGCTACAGAAACTTTCTGTGGACAAAGTGGAAGTAAGAGGGTTTCATTTCCATATACATGCACACAGAAGCCCAGTGCAGAGTGACATTTGGAGAAAGAACCTCTCTTTATATTTAAGCAATGGACCTATTACTTTTCTAATAAAGCACAACCCTTGGGTCACTTCAGGCCATTTCTTGTGATTTGCATTAGATGTTCTTCGAGACACAACATTAATCCAATAATAATTAAAATGATATACTGTACTATTAACATTCTCAAATCTTTAAAGGCAAGTGATCTATCCCTGCAGCACTGGCTGTGCTGACTAATTAAACAGAATACAGTTGTAAATGGGCATTGTAAGCACTTCTCCCGTTTAAGAACACAGTTCTAACAAGTGTAGTTTGTAGAGACGGGTGAGTTATCAGGATTGATCAGCTTTAAAGGGAGGTGGATGTACCACAAACAGCAGCTTGCATTTAAATGCCCTCTCCAAGATTAATCTGTCTGCTACCAGTTTGTTTACAAGGTTGCCTTTCCCCCCTCTATTAATTCTAACAGCAAAGCTATATTAGCACCACGCTAGCCATAGACAGGAAAAAGAAACCAAACACTTACCGAGGTTACTGGGGGAAAGGAAAAGAGTTACAGTGCATTGTGTCTGTGTATCATGTTTTCTTGAATGTGAGTCAGCACAATCTGGAACAGAATCATCACGGTGCTGGAGCAGGAGCAGCAACAGCATTACGCTGTTCCACCCAGCAACAACATAGTCAGTCCCAATCACAGAGGAGAGCAGGGCTGGTTTCTCACCCCACCCCACCCCCGTTTCCCCCAATAGATATTCCTCCCTGGCATCCAGCTTTGATGTCATCTTTGAGCACCAAAATGAAATCCAGGGTTGGATGACACTTTTTTTCCCACCTCAAAAACAAACATACCCAATTCACTCATTCTACAGGGAGACAGTATCTATGGCGCTTCCCATCCTTTGCCAGTCAGCAAGGAGGCAACACAGCACCAGAAAGGGTGAAGAATTCTGGATGGCAGTACACACATTTTCCTTCAGAGAAAATAAGCTTAGATAAACTTTAGCTGCATGAACAATCTAAACCCAAAAATGAAACAAGCATTTAGCACCAACTGAATGCTAAGCATAAAAGCACACAGAAGTTGTAAATGTGTTTAATATACACCCACGTTTAATTACGCTGGCCTAATCTTTAAAGAGAAGTTCTACATCCAGCTAAGGTATCCCACAGAACAATAAACTTTATCTGCACCTTTGATGTTCAGAAAAGCTACCTTCAGCATCCTCTCTCACTTGTAACACCAGGAACAAAATTCACAAATCATCTATCTGCATCTACTTCAGTCAATTTGCCATAGGGCTTCACTTGCCCCTAGACTTTCTTTCTCTATCCTGCTAATATAAATCTAAGAAAAGACCAATCCAAAATACTATCTAGAATCTTCCTGGAGCTGGAAAAGAATGAAGGTAGATCCTATCTCCACTTCTACACATGCTGTAATATAATAATTTCTTATTTTTCATCTGTACTGACTATCTTTCTTCTGGATGAATCTGTCAGGATATACTTCCAACACTGGACCTATAAAACCTGGTTAACATAAATTCAAATTTGTACCCCGAGGTCTAACTTTGAATGCATTTTTTGGTGCAAGAGATATTTTGCACTGAATTGGTAAAATAAACTAAACCTGCTGTGTTTATGTACCAGATCATGCTGCAGATTATATAAATAATAGTATGAAGAGATTAATATCCAGTGAGTTAATAATGTCTGTAAGTTTATAGCTTGATGATTCCTACTTATCTGAATCACAAGTTACGGTAATTGAAGAATATGGAATTCAAATAACAGGGATTTTACTGTGTTACACACAGAAAAGGTTCATTGTAATTCAGCATTATGTAGTTTTGGCTGCTCTTCTCTCCAAAGCACTACAGGCATATCTTCCTACTACAAAAAGGACAGTGGACGGGTGCTAGGTGATACACGGTCTCCAGCGGTAGTATTCTGTTCCTCACTTCTACCTTTGCTGCAAAATAACTATTTTCTAATAGTCGAACGGGGTATGAAAAAACAGAGGTTTGGTTTGGGGTTTTTTGTGCGTTGGTTTTTTGTTTATTTTTGTTTTAAAAGCTCTCTGCAGCTTTAATTTTTTCAGCAAAACTTTACAGGCAGTGTTGCTTGAAGGGATGGGGAGAGGGACAAAAAAGTGGTTTTGCTAACCAAATTAATTTAATCAAAAATAACATTAGATGTTTTATAGGTGTGGATCTGGGTGGAATAAATAGCATCTGATACAATCAACTAAACAATAAAACTGCAAACCATCAAAACTCATTGAGCTAGATGGCTTTTCATAGAATATTATGACTTCAGCTGTAATCTATGAAGCTTAATAGCAAAAATATTCAGTCCATTTGACTTAGAGATTCAGCAAAATAGAAATACCATAAAAGAAACATATTTATTATTGCTAAAACACAAGTGCTGTTTATGTCTAGAGCTGCATGTGTGTTTCTGTTATTACCCACTCTTCTGTTGTTCACGACTTCCTAAAAATCTGACCTAAAGCATCAGATGGAAATTATCTAGATTCAGTTTTTCTCTAAAGATGAAATATACTGAACACTTCTGTCAAAAAGATGGAGACATTCGAGTACAAAAGCAGGAACAAAAATGGTCTTATGACTGGGGAGACTGAGGAAATCTTCCAGGAGAAAGGCCTCTTGTGTAATTGACAGACTGGGGAACAGAGAACAAGACCACAGTTCCTTTCAAATGAAAACTGAGATGATACAACGATCCTTCTTTTTCCCCTCCGAGACTGTTACCTTGACAAAGTGACTCCTACAGTTTAGCTCCCTTTTATTTGCAATTCAAAGTTTAATAGAAAGACCTGAAAAGACCTTACAATATTTTCTTCTGTGAGAGGCACATTGTGAGAAGAGTTTGCTGTTCCCACTGAGAACCTGTTGCAGGCAGACTGTTCAATGCTTGTTGCTCACTCCTGGCCTAGTTTTCCTTTTTGTGTGAAGATTTCTGGGCAGAAGCTGCTTCAGATTTACTTACCAGAGAAGTGCAGATAAGTAAAATGAAAGCAAAGACACTTCCAGTGAGGTTCATTGCATTTTACCACCCACTCACAGGTAGATGTGACTGCAGCAGTTTCAAGGTGTAGACCCTGAGGAGCCACCTTCAGGCTGTTGGTCTTGCACGCCCCTGCAAAGTCTATGCCAGCAGGCATTTTTCATCCATCACACTCCTTCATATATTAGCTACAAGAGGTACTTGGCAACCTACAGGCTCCTATCTGTAAGCACATGCTGAAATGCTCTGCGCATACAGGCTTCTGGAACAAGGGCTTAGCCATCACAGTTGTGTCTCACATGGTAGCAGGAAAGAAATGGTCACGGGGGAGTCCCTGCTGATAGTCATGACAACTACTTCTCCTTTCTCTTCCAATTATAATGCCATTCTCAAACATGGACAGATGTGAGGACAGGAAGGTGCTTGGTCTTGTTTTTTTATTAAGTACAAATGTTTTACTGAAGTTCAAAGCCCAACAGCCAAACACATTTACAAACAGCATCAGAAGGTGATAAGCACTGGCGAAGATATGCCATTTTGAGACCATAGTCTGGGAAGCAATGTTGGTTTGTATTTGAGTTTGGGGAATACTTTTAACAAAGTAGTAAAAGATATCCTATTACACGGTAGTGTAATTCCATATTTTATATTAATTGCTCTTAAAGATCAAAAGCCATATTCTGTCTGTTAATGTATACACTCACATGGCCTCCTATGAAATCAATGAGATCCACATGTGTGTATCTGAGGCCTAAATTTTTCCCCAAAGATTCTTTAAAATCCTTTTATAGGGCAGTAAGTCATAGAAGAAAGTTGTATGTTCCCTTTCTTCTGCCTCTATACCCAAACCAGACATGAGTTAATACAGGCTGCTCTGCATTATGCTGGATGGTAACAGTATCCCGAGGGGCCGCTGGCCAGCCAGGGTTTGCCCTAGTTCTGCTCTCATGCTCTTCCACACCTAGACATTTCTGCGATCCTTTTACAATAGCAGAGTAATAAGAAATGGAGCCCAGTTCCATGTGCAGCCCACTGATCATATCAAGAAGTGCTCTAGATATTTTAGTGGCAGGGAAAAGCACATGGGACATATCAATGACTTTCCAATGGATTAGGTATCTATCTGTACAGACCTGCAGTGCAATCATGTGTGCAGATAACCTGGAAGCTTTTAAGGAAAAGCACAGTGGATACATGATTTTACCAGTGGAGAAAGGTGCAATGGCTTCAAGCATGTAAATTCAGGGATTAGAGGAAGTCATCTTTATATTAAGGGTAAAAACATTGAAACAATCTGCCACAACTGGGAAAAAATTAGCAGGCTTGCTGCCAGTCTCAACAGAACTGCCTGTCAGAGGTGCAAATATCTGAAGGAGTAGCTCAGACTGCTTTCAGTCTAAGGTTGAGTTGAGCTTGCAAGCTTCAAAATCTCAAGACTGAAGGTGCCAGAGTGACCCAAACACTAGGAAGGGCTTGATGACAGCTCTCACTGAAGTATTTCAGCAACTCCTAACCCTGCTTGGGCTTAAATACTCCCAGGGACACAAAATGAAAAAAATATTTAGATGGTTTTATAAAGATATTTTAAAAGTGGAATGTTTTGATTTTTCCTCAAGGCAGCAGCTGCTCTCCCTACCATCTACATGGAAAGCATTAGCTTATGATTTGAATCACTGTTCACTGAGTAAAAGAATAACAGCATCGTTGCCTAAATCAGTTTATAGTCTAATTCCACATTCCTGCCATTGGATCCATGGAGACATGTTTTTATGATGTAACAGCCACAAAGAACTTTCTAAGTCTTTCTGTGAACTCAAGGATCTACCTCAGCTCACACAATAAGTAGTTAAGGTGGACAGAAGTCAAGGTGGAAATGGACAACACATAGGTACACGTAGCTAGCTTTTGTTTGATGTTCTCCCATCTGGACAGACCAATCTGCATTGGGCAGACCCAGTGGGCATCAAATGGGCCAGAACATTTCAATGTGCAACAAACCCTTTGCATTTTGTCTAGAGTAGATTAAGAATGCTTCACAATGGACTAATTAAAGAGGAAGTCTTACAAGACCAGGGTGTCTGCAGCATACACTCTACAGACTATTGGAGGGGGTAAATGGAAATCTTTACAGTGACTTCAAAAAAACACGAATCTTGAGAATTTCCAGTTTACCCCATTTACTGTTTCTTCTTCTAATGGATAGAATACACTTGTCTATAAATCATTACAATTGTACTGAAAAGAAAAATCTGATTATACACCGAAAAAATCATGGCTTGCAAAAATTATCTTCCATTAAGTGTAAAGTGAACAGGAAATTCTAATCTATCAAAATTTGATTTTTTTTTTCCCCATAATAAAGAAAAGATTGTGTTTTATGATATGAAAATTAAAGGTGGCCTTCTTCACTGTGATGCTCTTGCCTCCCTTTTTTTAATCTTAATTTTGCAGGGTGCCTACCATTTTTTTTTATCAAAAAATAGAGTGTGGGAGGGGAAGAGAAAAAAATGCAAAAGAATTTAAGGTAAGAAGATCATGTAACCTGTGATGCTATTACAGCCTTCCTATGGACAAGAGAAAAGATGGTACTTGAAATGTATTTGAATAACCTCCAGTATGAAAAGATTTTAAAGTATTGCTCATATAT